ATATTCAGAAAGCTGAGAAGCGGGTCCAGAGGGAGCTCAGTGGTATTAAAAAAACCAAAGCATGGTAAACTCTCTGATGGGAAGTTTTGTGTTAATATTTTCCTCTGATGCTTGTTTTCCCCTCCCCTCTTTTAGAAGCCCGTTGATCTGAGGAGCAGGAGCTCCTCTTTGTGGCTTCTGTCGTTATTCTCATGCAAAGATGACAGAAACTAAAAAGGCCCAAAGAAAAGGAGGACTGGCTGCAGAGTCTAATCTTGGATTGGGTTGTTGGATTATGTCACAAAAAGGAAGTGATTTTCAATTAAAAGTAAATAAATAAATAAATAAATAGCTGCAGCAGGGAGAACAAGAATAAGTGAGGGCAAAAATGGAGCAGATACACAGCGCCATCTACTGCTGGAAAGAACAAAAACACACGGAGCCCTCTAGAACTTCTTGTTCTCAAGAGGATAAAAATGTTATCAGAACATTTTCTCCCTGTGAGAACAAAAACTTGTTTAGCAGGATCATAAAATCGCATAAATGTCGTCTCTGAATGCTTCTGCTGAGAAAACACACATTACAAGTGTGTACTTGTTGCTTTTTTCATTATAGCTGGTGGTGAGGTACTTTAGTGGGACAGACAAATGTACATTTAACAACGGTCAGTGTCAATAAGAAACTTCAGGTGCACCTCGAACACGTCTAAAATCAATCTTCCTTAACAGTTCTATTAGAAAAACGTATCTTTTATGAGCACAAAGTGACCAAAATAATTGAAACAGCCACCATCACTCCTGGTTTTTAGTCATTTCTGTAAATTGTTCATATTTTGTTGTAAATGTTTTAGAAACTCAACGAATAATTAAAAAGCATGCCTAAAATATGAAGTTAATGACACTTTCTCTGCTAATTTAATGCTAAATAAATCTCTTGAACCTATGGTTAACCATTCTGACAAGCAGCTTGTGTTTAAACCTGTGGTTCCTGATGCTTTTTCTCTTTCCACCATGTTAGATGATGCCCATCTATCCAGCATGGGTGTGAATTCTTCCAGCTGTGACCCACCGCTTGCGTCAGAGGTCTGCATTCATCATCAGTCCAAGTCGTGCACAACCCTGCTTGTGTCCCGGGGCGAGATGTAAACATCAGCCGCCGTGAAAAGCTTGTGGCCTTCAGGCGTGCCCATCCTACCATTTGAAGGGTTTGTGACTAGACATCTTGACCTTTCTGTGAATGACTTTGTCATTTCTCAGTTTGTGACCTCTGCTAATACGGTGGCCGACTCTTTTCTTCTTTCACAGGGGTGTGACTCTGTCCCTGGCCCCTGTGCTCTCTTTTCTGTGACTTCTCTTTCAGGTGACCACGATGGCGCAGAAAATCCTGCGGTTTCCAGTAGTCCTGTGGTCAGTGGCGATATTGAAGGAGGCTCGGTGGTTGCTGAGTTCACCTCTCTCACGGGCACGGGATGGCCACCCGGCCCGCGAGCAGTAGGTGCGTGCAGTGATGCCCCGCTCAGGGCCCCGCCTGACAAAGGGGGGGGTGCTGAGTGGCACTGAGTTTACCGTTGCGGACTTTAGGCTGTTCGGGGGAACCCCTCCTCCGAGCGGGCGGGTCATTGCAGAGATCTACACTGACCTTCCACCACTTCAGCTGACAACTTTGACCTCCGACCCGGAGATAGGTGTGGCACCTTCTACGGGGCGGAACTTTAGTCAGTCTGTGACTTCTCTGGTTAAACCGGGCTTTTCTGATTCTGTGTGGGAACCTCCATCATTCTTGGGACTAAAGTATTCTTGGCTTCAGTTTTCAGGACAGAACATGTTCCTTTCGATAGTGTCATGTCTGTATCTGATTCTAAACAGATGGCTAGGTTTGCTTTGACACCCGTGACACAACCATCCTTGGATCACTCCTTTTCAGAACCTCCAAGTCCAACACCTCCAGGTCTTTGGACATCTGAACATCTGCTCTTTCAGCACGATCCTGGTGACAATGCGCATCTTCTTGGTAATAGGGCTTTTCAGAGCTTAAGAACTGTGGTTTGTTATGCTTCTCCTGTCTCACAGACACGGCGTAAGTTTGAGAAACAAAAGGGGGGTGGGGAGCCTCCTCCTGCTTTGCGAGCATCATTTTCGCATCTCCAGTTCACTACCATTTCTGATCACAGCAAAGTCGCCTCCGTTAAGCTGCAACTCAACTTTGAGCAGGTAAAATCAGGTTCTGATCTAACAGCTAAACCATCAGCTTCACTCCAGTTCCAAACGGGTCCTACAGGTAAATTCAAACAAGTTTCTCTGTGGGTTCGTAACACCAGATACAAACCACATGATGACCAAATCTATTATGACACGGCTCCCACAGATAAATTCAAACTCGTTTCTCTGTGGGTTCGCAACACCAGATTCAAACCGCTTACTGAACGAATCAATTCTGACCGGATTCTTTTCCACTAAATGGTGGTGTTACAAATTCAATCTTTGTTGGATGAATTTTTAACAAATGTGATATCCTTTGAATTTTTTTTACAGGTTACCTGCCTCCAGCCAGGGTCCTGTTACTAACTCATATTTTTAGGGATTACTAACCTACTGATTTACATTTTTAGAACTGATTTACACCTCTATCTTTTATTAGTGCTTTGTGTAATGTGGTTGCTGTTGATTACATATTTTAACTTGTTAAAATTTTCCTTAAAGGGCTACAAGCCTATTTGCCCTTCATTTTTTTTTTTTGTATATGCCTTTAATCAGTGCAGCCTAATGAGTTTTACATATCAGTTAGGATTTAATTTATTTTATTTGTGTTTTCTCTGCATCACCTTTTTACATGACATGTAGAACAGGGTGCAGAACATTTCTTCTTTAGATAATTCACAAAATGCCTTCACATTTTCCCAGAGGTACCCATAGATAGGTTTTTGATCATTTCTTTGATTTGCATCGAGCGCGATCTATTGTATGGGCTGTCTCACTTTGTCTCCTTCTCCGAGCTCGTCCGGCCTTCGATGTCTGCTTCCATTCCATGGGGGTCTCCGCCATCTGAGGGTCGTCTTCTCCTCCACCTGGGTTCCTTTCGCATGGGGCTTCGGTCGTGGTTCGAGAGGAGTCGAGGTCGTCACTGGACTTCGTCTGGACTACGCCCGAGGGTTACATCACCTGCCCAGCTCCGTGTGGACGCACGGGCTACCTTATCCTTTGAATATACCTTTGAATAGTTGCTGATGAAAATTAACTGCTATTGAAATAGCTCTGCTTTCAAGATTTCCTAAGTGAATTACTTTACAATGATTTGCAACAGTTTTGGCCTTAATCATCTGGTCAGGATATACTCCTTTCTACACGAGACCTGTGGAGACGCTTCATCGCTCCTGCCTTCATCTGGAACATGCATGTCTACCTACATGAGTTCATCACGTTAATGAGGTCACGACGTCAGGTGGTTTTTGCTTGACCACCATGTCGTCGCGAAAGGGGGGAGTTGTAACGTGAGGAAATATGGGTTTTCTGTCACAAAGGTGGTGTTGGACTCAGCTGGGTCAAAGCTGGGTCGCTGAGAACTTTCACCCACAGATTAAGACCTGAACGCCAGCGAGTCTGGGAGGAAACCATAACATCTGCCACCTGCAGCTTCGTGCCAGAAGATGTTGTTCCCACAGAAGATGTTGTTCCCATAAATGTAGTCATAACAAGTCTTAAAACTTCCTTTCTTTATTTTAATGTTAAAGAATAATAATTATCATTTTGCTCATTATAAATGTGGTTTAATCAAATGAATGATTCTTATGCTTTGGGTAATTATAATGGATTGATGAATCCATACTTAATTAGATAATGTTTGAGGATGTTTGTTAGCGACCTTCACACACACACACTCAAGCACACACACACTCAAACACACCCACACGCAGATTCTCACAGTAAACTCCAAAACACGTTTGCTGACGCACACGTTTGCTTTGAGAAGAGAAAGGCTTTTGGTAAGTTTCATGCTTAAGATTTCAGTTCGTGCTTGACAACGAAAGAGAGAGGACGTGTGAACAACCGCTAACGGGGGAACGGAGCCCACCGGCTCAATCCCCCCCCCCCCCCTCACGCTGTTCCTGCCAAGCCAGACAGGACAGCTGAATCGCAACTTCTAACGCAGACTCATTACCGAGTCTTTTGATTTCTGAGTGACCTAAACTTAACAAACGCATCGACAAAACGCTTTACCATCAACGTGTACCGAGGGCAACTCTGGACCGGTTCGCGGCGCATCTTTGTCTTCTTTGCCAGCCAAGGTGCCCTGGATGAAACATCATCCTAAGGTGACGTCCCGGGTCCAACAGGGAGTCCGATTTTCGGTGAGGCAGAACACGACAGATAGCGTTTTGATGCATCTTTTCCAACTAAACCTAAGTTTATTCAAACCATCACTTTTCACTCAGACACCTGTTTCTTCCTGAAGCAAAATCAGATGCACACACGCATCCATCTCACCTCATGTTCAAGTCTCACTACACTTTGCACACACGCATCCATAATCACATCATATCACTCTCAACCTTCAGCACCTCCAACACAAGGTCTATTTAATCAAGAACAGCATATCAACTGTTAAAGATTGTCCCACAAAGTTGCCAATGTTGATTGTTATTTCCTGTTTGTCAATTTCAAAATCATTAGTTTAATTTGAAGAATTAAAACTTTTAATTGTAAACTTGTTTCTTCATTGAACTGAAACACAGACACACGGATATTATCGACAGTTTATCGATGAAAACAACCTTTGAGTCTTCTTAAAACTATACAATTTGGTTATTAATTTAATAAAATTAATATCACAAATTTTCATGTAGAATGGTTCCTCTTTCATAAAAGAGCATAAACCACAACGCTACAGTTTGACCAGCCAGCCAGTTCTACACTGTTCTTTTTGCCTGTTTTTAGTCACTGTGAGTATTTGCAGAATAATTGTTTTTCGTTGGATTTATTTTGTGAAAACGTTATTTAAGATAAACAACAAAACAAAGAAATGAATAATCTTCCACATTAGTTTATTTTCATTAATGTGACACAGCACAAGAATTGACAATCAGTGCTTTTATTCAGTGTCACAAGCCAGAAGAAAATATTTAGTTTTGGATGCTTTTTTCATGTAAACCGGGAATACGCTCAATATATTAAAAATATCTAAAATTAACCAAGTTAAATAAAGAGGAGTGCATGCAAAAATCAGCATTAAATGCCTAATATACTGTTTTACAGCGAGTCACTTCTCAGCCCTGCCAAAGACTCCGACGCATTGCTTAGAGCTCGGTGTGATCCTAAACTCCTGGGTCAAGAATCCATGTGCACGTAAAAAAAAATAAGCTAAACGTAGAAAAGTTTTTTAGTACAAAAAGGCGTTTCAATGTGTTGTCAAAAGAAGTGAAGAAAGTTAGAAAAGTCCAGCTTTAGCAGCAAAAACTAAGTGTGCCAGGTGTGTGTTTCTTCTTTTAATTGCATAGTTCTACTACTGAAAACATGTAAACGTTTGTGTGTTTTATCCTACGGAAATATCAAAGTTTGTTTAAAAAATGGACAACAAAGATGAGTAAAACCAAACGACAGCATCGGTTTTCCTCCTTGGCTACTTAAATTCAACCCTGGTAGTATACCTCAGTGTATAAAATATAAAAAGTGCAACATTATTGCCAAGAATGAGAGAGTGAACAAACGTCATCTAGCTGGTGTTGAGGAAAGGGCAGATCTCTTGCATCACAGCTAACTATGCTGTAGTGTTATTTTTATGCTACACGTTTATTCGTCGGTTACTTCGTCTTCTCTGGCTCCTCGATGAGTTTGCTCTTGTTGTACTTCTGTCCAATCCCGTAGGGAACGTGTGCCGAAATGGTTCCATGTTCCTGTGCACCCTCGATGTGGAACATCTGGTCATCGAAGAAGATGTGCGGTCTGACTTTCTGCAGGAGAGGCCCTTTGGGAGCCCCAGCCAGAAAGAGGGCCTCGTCGATCTCCAGGCCCCAGCTGCGCAGGGTCTTCAGGACGCGAGCCCCGGAGCTGGCCGCGCTGCGGGCCGTGACCAGGAAGGTTCGGATGGGGCAACGGAGACGCTCGTTCTTGGCATAAAATTTTCTCTGGAGCTTCCCGAGAGCCTCGAGGAAACACTTCAAGGGGCCCTGAAGGAATCAAAGAATAGATTTATATATGTGCATCAGAAATGTTAAAGCGGCAACCAGTGGCTCATTAGGATCACTATGGTAACCAGAGTCTCTAAGGCCTTGAATATAGTTGCTATTTAATGACATGTACATGTGTTTAAAATGGCCGCTTTGCGCAACTTAGGTTGATTTGAAGCGTTGTCTCCTGAAACTAACACGACAAGATCACATGCTGCGATTTACAAGTAACCAGCAGTCGCAGCTGACAAAATGGGCGAGACACACTCGCCATTTTGACTCTCTCTCTGGTTTAGAGGTTTTTCATACTGCCTACGATATTTCTGCTGTCTTGTTTTCTGCCGTGACCTCACAATGAACTAGTTACAGTCTCTTCTATTGACGCCATGTTAATGTTGGTAGTACCCACTAACCCGGCTCTCTATCTGGTCTAAGTTGTCTACTGCGCCCCCTAGTGGAACACTCCAGTACTACATGCAGTGCAGCGGCAACTATGTGAACAAATACACTGCCTGCATCAACACGAGGTTAAAAAGCAAGTGTGTTCCAAGCCTACCTCTTACAGTGAATTTGCTCTTTAACAAGTGGCATGAATCCGTTTCCTTTAGAGTTAATAGATCCAAACTACTGAAGGAGTGCATGAATCAGCAAAACGGGGACTTGTTTTACAGCCAGCTAAGCAGGTTTCTTAACCTGTCAGGAATTACAGCCTGACGTGTTCGTATGAACACACAAAGCGTTTGTTCTAGTGCCAAAAATCTATGAAAACACGTCTCCATGCAAGTCAAGTCACCTGTGTTGACAAAGGAGCAGCTCTAAAACAGCATGAGTCAGTGACCTTCAGTGGCTTCTAGATTAGGATGGATATCTAGCAGGTGTATCCTTCCAATCCTGGCATTGGTTTAGGTTATTCTGCTTCCTGTCAGGTGTGAGAGACGCTTACCTGAGCCAGAGGCAGGTTCTCAAATTTCTTCTCGTGCTCGAAGAAGGTGTCGAGGCCGTGCTGCTTGACGATGATTTCGGACTCGTCCGAGAAGAGGACAGCATCGCCATCGAACGCCACTCTCAGCTGGGTGTCGCTCAGCCCACTGTCCTTCTCTGGCATGAACATGGTCGCTGCAGCGATTCCTGACGATGGAAGGAAACAGTTAAAAAAACAGTCTTCGGTTCATGAGACGCTTCTGGTCAGTGGAATTCAGCTGCAGGCAAACATCAACCTTCTGGTCTCGTTGACGACATGACAACAGAGTTCCAGATTTCTCGCAAGTGTACAAAAACCACACCTAAGCTCGCTCCATTTGGTAGAAAAGCTAATTTAACAAACATAAGTGAAGTAAAATAAGTATCTGACCCTCCTCAATGGCTTCTGTGACTTTATTGGAATCTTTTGAAAGGTACAGATTTGTCATGTAGGCCTTGAGGTAACCGATGGGACTCTGTCCTCCTGTCATGCAGAACCTCTCGATGGTCAAACCTGGAGGAGTTAAAGCATTTTAAATAAGTTTAGACTAAAAAACAACAACCATCATCATCCTCACATGTGTGAGAAACCAACCGTAGTGATTGATGCTGTTTATGAGGCGAACTCCAACCTGGGCGTGGTTGTTGGTCATCAGGACGATGTCAAACAGCTCCTCGCTGTCTGGGTACAGCTCCCTCAGCCGGGCGTTTACGTTCATCAGTGCCTGTGTGTGTGTGTGTGTGTGTGTGTGTGTGTGTGTGTGTGTGTGTGTGTGTGTGTGTGTGTGTGTGTGTGTGTGTGTGTGTGTGTGTGTGTGTGTGCGTGCGTGCGAGAGAGAGAGAGAGAGAGAAAGAGAGAGAGAGAGAGAGAATGCTGTGAAACAATCAAAAGCAGGATATTGAGACACCTGAGTTTACAACAGCAGCATTACGAAGGTTTAACGACTTTGTGACCCCCTTTTGTGGAGGAAGCAGCTGAAATTATCTTCCTCCACAGGGTGGAAAGGCTCGGCCTTAAGGATAAGATCGACAGAAGTTAGCTGAGGTGGTTTGAGGAGACCTAGAACTTGCTGGGTGAATTTTATGTCCTCTCTGGCCTGGAAACACCTCCAGGAAGAACCTGTGAGATTCTCTCCTGGATCGGTTAGGGTTCGGGTTAACCCTAACCCCTCCACAACCCAACTTAGAAAAATAGATGGATGAAGTTCACTCGCCACCCCTTAGTTTACAAATAAACAAGAATTTATCAGGTTTATTTTTTAAGCTTCTCGCTGCTTTTGACAATCCGATTTAGCTGCTTAAGATGTTTCTCAACATTGTTACTTATTACAATGAAAAACTCACAGATGAACCCATCTGAGATTATCCTGATGGAGAACACATCAGCGTGACAGTCGGGGATTAATGTGGGACAACTCTGTGGGACTTGGCGACTGACTTGAAACAAAGAAATAGAGTCTGACACTAAAATTAGCAAATAAAACGAGAAGAAATTGTGAAAAGTGCAGACATAATTATCCATTACTGCCTGAAACATTAAAAGATGACCGGGATATAAAAAATCTGAACTATTTAAATCCCAACCATGCTACAATAAAAAACTAAAATAAAATTGACACTTGCCTCTTACATTACTTAAAGAGACAATGTCTAATTTTTACCATTAATTTCTGTAAACATGCATCAAAATGCTGTTGAAAATGGATGAACTGATGCCCAGTTGTTGAAAAATATTGACGGCTTCGTAACATATAACCATAAAAATCTGTTAAAATACATGGGAGCGGGTCCAAGTCTCTGGGTGACAGCATATTAGATGCCTTGTTTCCTTCTACGGGAGCCCATGAGGTCAAAATGCATTAACTGATTTGATAAAAATGATTACAAAACCTTCGCCGTTCTTAAATTTATTTTTTAACACATTTACTTCTTCACTTGTTGCCATTGATGAAAGGGAGTCTGATGTGCTTGTTATTTAGCTTAAAGGGACTTTACGGAGTTTTGAATTTTTATGCTCGCGAATGCCCCCTCAGGCCAAAAGCGTAACGACAGCTTCAATAGTAGGCTCGTGCACAAGGCGTGCATGCTGTACGTGCACACTCCTAAACGAAAATAACAGCTGAGACAGTCGTGTGTGTGTGTGTGTGTGTGTGTGTGTGTGTGTGTGTGTGTGTGTGTGTGTGTGTGTGTGTGTGTGTGTGTGTGTGTGTGTGTGTGTGTGTGTGTGTGTGTGTGTGTGTGTGTGTGTGTGTGTGTGTGTGTGTGTGTGCGGCCCGGAGGACAGAGGACAGGAGAACGCGTATCTAATTAATTAAATAACTTGGTTCTGTACCTTTCTCTTCAGCACAGCCGACAAAGGTTTATGATGGGTCAGTCCTCCTGCATGCTCAGACCATTCCCTTCCCTTGCTTGAAAAATTGTTCCAAAATGAAAGTTGAACCCACATCTTTTTTATCTGTGAATTCAATGCCGTTCGGCGAGTCTCAAATAAAAATTTGAGCATCTTACTGTAAAAAAATATACCATTAATGTAAAAAAATAAACTCTAAATAAACTATGTTCACATCCAGAATCAAACCCAGGTCTTCTGCACGAGAGTCTGACGTCTTACTAGGTGAGCTAAAGCAAGCATCAGTGACATATTTTGTATCTGTAACATTTCTATCCTTGATGACAGCTGAAACAACGTTCAAAGAACGGTTCGAAGCGAAAATGGCTATTTTGTTGCTAATTTGCAGGAAATATCTAGAGGAAAGTAGCTAAGGGTCCTCAGAAATGTAGCTAGGTTCATCACTAGGCGTTAGGAACAGTGACAAAGTCGTTGAGTTGGCACTACCTCACTCTCTGCTGCTAAAGCTACTGATAGCAAATGCTACGGGCTATGCCTGAGCGTGAACACGCATGAAGCAGCCTGCTCGACCAACTCTCTTTTTCTGTGATTTTACAGAAAAACAGGCAATCACAGTAAAAATGCCAGGGCTCATTCTACAGGACCAGGGCATTGCAGGAGAATGTATGAAGAAGACATTTATTATTTCTATACATGTTTTGGCTGTCAAACTTCCATAATGCCCCTTTAAGTTTACACTACTTGGAGCTTTTTGACCCTAATGGGCATCCATTGGTAAGGTCTTACTCAAACACAAAAATACTGCTTGCTTGCAACAATTTAGGTATCTACTGCCCCCTATCGCCAGGAAAAATACACACTGTTGCTTTAAACTATTTGCCAGAGGGCAGACATGGAAATTACCATTTCAGGAACAATACTTTTGATAATATACTGTTAGAACATCGTGGTAACATTATTATAAGATAATTTGCAAAAATGTTTCAATTTCTTTGCACCAAACAACTGATCTTGTCAAATAAATAGCAAAAGTGATTGCATAATTGTTAAAATAATAATGAAATGTGGGCTTGTGGGTTAAAATAATGCTGCAACCCCCCCAGTGCCACTTCGGCTCACTTCCGGTTCATAAGACTATCTTTAACCTGTTTTCTAGTTTAGTTCCACTTCTGGTCTTGACTTTTGGGTTTGGTGAGTAAAACAAAGACAAGTTTAAAAAAGGTGTAAAAATCACGTTGAGGGACAAACAGCGTACGGATCTCAAAAAACGTTACATTCTTGGTGCCTTTGATTTTGCACAAAACAAAATACCTGTGCAGAGGTGTGGCTGCAGCTGTGACAAGCCTGCAGGTGTCCGAGATTGAACTCTTGCTTGGACACAATCAGATGCTTTTCTATCCGGAGTCACAACCAGCAGAGTTTCTGAGGAGCTCGGGTTTACCTTGACGAAAGGGAAAGCAGCTCCTGGCTTCAGAGGCTCGTTCTCATGCTCCACCTGATGAGCCACGTACTTCTCCATTCCTTCCTCCACGAAGATCTTCCTCTCTGCCACCATGTTGAAGAGGGTGCGAGAGGACACCGCGATGGTCACAGCATACTGCGGCTTGGGCTGATTGTTAATAACAACAAGTTAGACAGTCTGGAGAGAGTTCTGGAGGGGAACGTGCTTTTCCTCACCGGTCTCGGTACTTTGGTTTTCAGGTTGTCAAAAAACGCCTTGGCCGCTGCCCAGTCTTTATCCTCTCCGCTCGGCTCGGACGCAGCGTCGTTGGGTTTGATTTCACTCATCTTACTCGATCTAATTAATAAATAAATTAAAAAAAACTTCCAGGGATTCTAATGGGCCTGGAGGATTTACATGGATCAGGAACTGCGGCGGCTGCGGGAAACTTTGCGGAAATGTACTAAAAGAAGCCCAGGTGGGCGTGTCTGTCAGCTGTGACGCACGTTTCAGCGCACCGCTTGGTTGGTCGGTCCGTAGTTAGCGCCACCCTGTAGGAATTACTGTAAAACAAACTACAGAAGAAGTGTTCCTGTAGCCGTCAAAGATCAAATAAAGACATTAATAAATAAAAAAAACTATAATTAAAAAGGACACATTTTATTTAGAATTAAAAAGATGCAACGTTACTCCAATTAATAACATCCATTTTATTTCCAAAATAAGTTCTGTTTACTAAACAAATACAAATAAAAACACTATTGGAAAGGTTTAATAGCTGATAAAGTTCCATTATTAACATCATTATTGCATAAGCATTAAAAGTCATAGGAATGTTTAAATTAATGAACAATATTTGGCTTTTATAGATCGATTTAGGAGTTGGCCGATATATCAGGCCAATATTATTTTTTTATACATCTGCTGATATTGGTCCTTAAAGTTGATTTAAAGAGACAGTGTTAAGTTTTTACTGGTAATCTCTGGAAGTATTCTTTAAAAAGTTGCTGAAAATTAATTAAATGATGTCCAGCTGTTGAAAAATATTGGCAGCTTTGTGACATACAACCACAGATATTGGGTCTAAGGGCGCGGGTCTAGCGTCTTTGGGGGACGCCATATTAGACGCCATGTTTCCTTCTGGCTGGCTCGAGGTCCTGTGCTTGTCAATGACATCACGTTACATGACTGGTTGGACGTACGACAAAGGGAAGTTACGTTACCATGTTCAAAATCATGTAGGCAGAAGCAGATCCGGAAAATACAGCGCCAGAAAACTACAATCAGGAATTAACTGAAGGACCATCAAAGTCTGAGGAGTCATGCCGAGGTCCTCAGGTAACAATCACAGTCACAGTGACATGGTGTAAATCTACCATGAAGTGTATGTCTGTACTGGCCCCTAGCACCAGGAAACTACACAGTGCCACTTTAAAGTCAGGCACATCCACGGGCAGCTCGGTGCTGTTGCAGAATTTAAATTGAATGTATTTGTATGTATACTAATAACATCTGCACAATAAATACCCTAAATTAACTTTATTTAGGTCTTTGACTTTGACACTGAGCAGTGGACAAAGCTAAGATTTAAGAGTTAAATTGAGAGTTCAAAAACTGATTCAGCTTCAAAAGTTTGTGCATCAGCTGATGTCATCAGTGATCTTCCAGCATGGAAATGAGGTTGCAAAAGGTCTAGATATCAACCATGGAAATAAGCTCATAAAAATCAGCAGTACATATCGGCCATCGGCTGACCGAGTGTCTTACATATCAGCATCGGTATTGGCAATGGACAAAGCAACACCGGTTGACCTCTAATAATACTAAAAATAAAAATAATTATGATAATAGTAACAATATATTGGACTGAATTAAAACAAAAGTTGCAAACATTATGATAAAATAAACAACAAAAGCACAAGAGCAACCTGTGAGGTGGAATTAGAAATGAGATTTAGCTGAACCAATGACCTAATGTTACCTGGAAGTTAAAACTTTACTTTTATTACAAAAACAGTCATCTTCATTTACCGGTATACGTATACTCCCATTTTACTGATATTTTAATTTCCCTACACACACATAAAGTGTCCCACTCAGTCATGAATGGCCCTCTCCTCCGTCACCACCCCCCTCCCCACACACACTTGGTAGAGTCCAGGACGGAACATCATGGCGATTGACGGTGAGTACTCGGGCTCAGGTGTCGGTCAGGACTCGACTCAAACTTTACTGGGGAAAGAATAAGAGCTCTGTTTTCCCATCAAGTTTGTGTCTCAGTCCTTCGTTTGCTCGTCCAGTTTCCCTGCGACTCACGCCGGAAGTAGCTTCCGCAGAGCTGCTGGACACGCAGCTGACAGCGGCGGGACTGCTGATGCTGGGATGCGGATGCTGATGCAGGACGGTTCGGTTGGGATGCCGATGGGACGCGCGCGCGCCTGAAGTGACAAAGACAAGCGCAGACGGTCCCAGGGGACTAAAATGTCCACGTTTAAACGTCAGACGTTATTTAAGATTTATTTAGGAGTAGGACACGGCTGTCGCTGCGTAACGATTCGTCGGAAGATAATCACCTCAAATATTTAGCATGCTACCAAGTGTATGGCAAGCTATTGTAACATTTAATCAAACTTCACGTAACTTCACGTCAGTTCAAAACATTTAGGTGCACGTGAACACAAAAAGTCATTTAGAATAAAAAAACCCTTAATAATTTTACCGTTTACTTATAGACTGAAATGGCTTGCTATATAACAAGAAACATTTCAGATTGTCAAAAGCAACTCAGTATTGTCTAAGTATTTATTTTCTGAAGTAAAATTCAATATTTTGAATTACATGTATCCACTATATTATTATTATTACTTTTTGCTTTAATCTCTTAATATTTGCACATTTAGATGATCTGCTTTTGCTTTCTGAACCGCTCATTACTGACGCTCAGACATGTTGTGGAAATGTTCAAAACACCGTGGGTGGGATACGAGTGTCAGCTTCCTTCGTTAAATCAAACTTCGGCAAGACTTTTGACACTTATTATATTATTATAAATAAATAACAAATAGTATTGCATTCATACAAATTAGTGCAGGAAAATAGCTTTGCAGCATGTTATTGGTGATCATTTAGAAGAGCGTAGTGATGAAACTACCATTGGTTATGATTATTTATAGAAAATGTTGATTTACCGGCTAATTTCTTAAATGAATAATCAAAATAATAATTGCTGCTTTTATGGTGGATGACAAATCATATCGTTGATATCTAAATAATGGTTATTATTAACAATCCTCATGCAGCTCTGCAGACTTTCTTTAGGTTAAAGATAAACCAGTTCAGACCGAATTTAAAGGGGTTGAACACTCGTTTATTACTCGGGAGTGGGCGGTGTGGTGGGATTTGCTTGAATCAGGAAGTACAAGTCATAGGAAAAGGTCAGACATCATATACATAGACACCCCATGGACTGACGTAGCAGTGGGCCACCATCTTGGATGGGTCTCCATTCATGCCCAGTGCATTTATTTCTACAGAGGAAGGTGCTTACCCAACTACAAAACACACAAAATCAAACACATGGCATGATAGTTAAAATATAAATAAATAAAAATATCAACAAATAAAATCCCCACAGCCCGAAGAGGAAACGTGGGTCCCCTTTCCCATGGGTTCACCACTCGTGGGAGGGGCCAAAGGGGTCGGGTGCAGTGTGTGATGGGTGGTAGTCGAGGGCGGGGACCTTGGCGGTCTGATCCTCGGCTACAGAAGCTGACTCTTGGCACATGGAATGTCACCTCTCTGGTGGGGAAGGAGCCTGAGTTGGTGTGTGAGGTTGAGAGGTTCCAACTATAGTCGGACTCACCTCAACGCACGGCTCTGGAACCAGTTTCCTTGAGAGGGGTTGGACTTTCTACCACTCTGGAATTGCTCCCACTGAGAGGTGCTGAGCAGGGGTGGGCATGCTAGTTGCCCCCCATCTTGGTGCCTGTACGTTGGGGTTTACCCCAGAGAATGAGAGGGTAGCCTCCCTTCGCCTACGTGTGAGGGGACGGGTTCTGACTGTGGTCTGTGCTTATGCACCAAACTACAGTTCATACTACCCACCCTTTTTGGTGACCTTGGAGGGGCTGCTGGAAAGCGCTCCTTCCAGTGACTCCCTCGTTCTGCTGGGGGACTTTAACGCTCACGTGGGCAACGACAGACAGACCTGGAGAGGTGTGACTGGGAGGAACGGTCCCCCTGATCTGAATTCGAGTGGTGTTTTGTTATTGGACTTCTGTGCCAGTCATGGATTGTCCATAATGAACACCATGTTCAGACATAAAGGTGTCCATATGTGCTCTTGGCACCAGGATACCTTAGGCCGCAGCTCGATGATCGACTTTGTTGTTGTTTCATCTGACCTGCGGCCACATGTCTTGGACACTCGGGTGGAGAGGGGCGGAGCTGCCAACTGACCACTACCTGGTGGTGAGTTGGCTCAGATGGTGGGGGAGGATGCCGGTCAGACCAGGCAGGCCCAAACGTATCGCGAGGGTCTGCTGGGAACGTCTGGCAGAGTCTCCTGTCAGAAGGAGCTTCAATTCCCACCTCCAACAGAACTTCCAAAATGTTCCGGGGGAGGCGGGGAACATCGAGTCTGAATGGACCCTGTTCCGTGCCTCCATCGTTGAGACAGCCGACCGGAGCTGTGGTCGCAGGATCGTCGGTGCCTGTCATGGTGGCAACCCCCGAACCCGCTGGTGGACACCGGCGGTTAGGGATGCTGTCAAGCTGAAGAAAGAGTCCTTTCAGGTCTTTTTGGCCTGTGGGACTCCAGAGGCAGCTGACGGGTACTGGCAGTCCAAGCGGAACGCGGCTCGGGTGGTTACCAAGGCAAAAACCCGGGCATGGGAGGAGCTCGGTGAGACCATGGAGCAAGACTTCCGTACGGCATTGAGGAGATTCTGGTCCACCATCCGGCACCTCAGGGAGGGAAAGCAGTGCGCTACCAACACTATCTTTAGTGGGGACGGCGTGCTGCTGACCTCTACTCAGGACGTTGTGGATCGGTGGGCAGAATACTTCGAAGACCTCTTCAATCCCACCGACTCGTCTTGCAGTGAGGAAGCAGAGTCTGGGGACTTTGGGTTGACCTCTCAAATCTCTGGTGCTGAGGTCACTGAGGTGGTTAAAAAGCTCCTGTGGCAAGGCTCCAGGGGTGGATGAGATCCGCCCGGAGTTCCTTAAGGCTCTGGATGTTGTGGGGCTGTGTTGGCTGACACGGCGCTGCAATATCGCGTGGACATCGGGGGCAGTCCCACTGGACTGGCAGACCGGGGTGGTGGTTCCCTTATTTATAAAGGGGGACCGAAGGGTGTGTTCCAACTTCAGAGGGATCACACTCCTGAGCCTTCCTGGTAAGGTCTATTCAGGGGTTCTGGAGAGGAGGGTCCGTCGGATTGTTGAACCTCAGATTCAGGAGGAGCAATGTGGTTTTCGTTCTGGCCGTGGAACACTGGACCAGCTCTATACCCTTAGGGGGATCCTGGAGGCTGAGTGGGAATTTGCCCAACCAGTCTACATGTGTTTTGTGGATTTGGAGAAGGCGTTTGCCCGCGTCCCTCGGGGGGGCCCTGTGGGGGGTACTCTGGGAGTATGGGGTACTACGGGCTGCTAGGTCCCTGTATGACCGGTGTTAGAGCTTGGTCCACATTGCCGGCAGTAAGTCGGGCTCGTTCCCAGTGAGAGTTGGACTCTGCCAAGGCTGCCCTTTGTCACAGATTCTGTTCATAACCTTTATGGACAGGATTTCTAGGCACAGCCAAGGTGTGGAGGGCATCCGTTTTGGTGGCCTGAGGATCAGGTCTCTGCTTTTTGCAGATGGTGTGGTCCACACATTTTACAGACATTGAGCTCAAATTCGGTGCATCAGTAGCTGAGAGTCAATCGCTTTGATGCAAATAAAAACATTTTATGGACAGAATATTAAAAAAATGTTTAGATTTTACAACATTCCCTAAATCTGTGATAAATAAACATTTCATGTGCTGCAAGTTCATATCATCAAAGTTGGTTTCAGCTTTATGTTGCAGAAAACTAATCCTTCCACATAATTCACTTATAAAAATGTGTTTTCTGTTTTTATTTGACTCAGAACTTCCTGTTTGTGTCTTTTAGGGGTGGGGAGAAACTGTGGTGCTCATGAGCTTATCTGTATCAGACGAGGTAAGGCCACAAGCCCACGACATCCTCTGTAGAGTTATAAAACAGGTTGTATTTGTTTTATAGAGTCAGAATGCAGAGCTTGTGTGTAAATTATGCATGCAGTATCAAGTTATAGTCGACCTTGGCGAACCTAGGCAGCTGTGCGTGCATGCTTTATTCAGCATGTTGGTTTTGTTTCGTTTCAGACGTCCATGTAAGCAACACTTCATACTGCCCACACTTTTTTAAAAAGCACACACTAAAAGGTACACCGCTCTACTCCAACATCTCAGAAAAGTCTGAAATGTTAGCCTGTCTGTGTCTAACCGTGAAGCTGCCTGACAGAATAATTACTTTTCTTTTTTTCCACGGAGGCCGGCATCGTTCCGTTTCGATTTTCATGTTTTTTCTGCAGCTTTCTGGAGTCCGTTTGAATCCCGATGCTCTTTTCAGAGTTCAGCATCAGTTCACAAGCTGTTAAAAAAGATGTATTCCACTTTTTTCTGTTAGAGCGCACATGCAGAAGAGTGAGAACACATCTCAATCTGCTCTGCTGCTAAAAGGACTTAGAAATGACAGATATCATAGAAGCTGCTCCCTTTGCAGGCGTGTATTGATGAAGGCATCAGGTTACTTCAGGCGGTTTAAATTATTCACCTCCTGTTAACGTTTACAGAGCAGGAGAATGTATGAAGTGTCGTCACATCCTGGCGGTGCAGCGCCGCGAGCCGGTGCGTTTACACCCATGGCGGCGGTTCAAGAGGCTCAGTCAGCAGTGAGAGTTGATACATAAGCCTGGAGAGGTCTGGGCGGCACTAAATGCATGCTTGATTACTTCAGAGCAGGAAAACTTTGCTTTATCCTCCTTTTTGGTCCATTTTCTAAGGAGATGTTCATTTAGGAAGGTAAGCCTCGGCCACCGTGTCCTTATTTCCTCCTCTGGTTCCTTTCTTGGGGAAATTACAGCATTGATCACCTTGGGAGTGTGCGGCATAGTGCAGGCTGTCAAAGCTGCAGCAGTGTCCTTCCTGTTGCCATGGGGAGGCAAGTCTGTCCATAATAAGTTCAGTCTGTATTCAGAAGGTTTGTATGGCTCTGTGTTTTCTCACTAATGTGTGCTGTCGAGCTGAAAGCAGGTTATTCAGCGAGCACCGACGACTCATGAGCCGCTGCTGATCTGGGTCAAACGCACCAGATTTTCACTTCAGCAGCTTGTTTTCATCACTTTTAGCTCAAACTTCTGCAAAATGTGGGAAAATTCGGTCTCGCGGGAGCGAACCAAAGCTGTGGAGCGCATGCTGTGTGGGAGGGACTTGTGAATTTTGTTGTGTTTATGTTTGTTATATTTCAAACCACAAAAGAATCTGAGCTTGGAGCACAAAACTAAAATGATTGTGAACAGGAGAGACTAGAACAGAGGAGTTAAGGCAGCAAGCGTTCACCAACGTGGCGAAATCACAGCTTCAGAGCATCGTTTTAAAGTGGTTTAATCCTCCCGTTAGATGATTCCTGACCACATTACCAGTGGCAGTACTGTCTATGGTAAGCATCTACAAAGTATGCATTTCTATTTACAGCTTCCTGATTGGTTTCCTTCTTCAAAAGCAGCTCAGAAATTCTGCCGTTCAGGCTGCTTTGCTGTGATCAATTTCTGGCTCCCAGTCGGGAAGCAGAAGGATGTGGGAGGGAGGGCACCAACAGAATTAGAGCAAAACACAAGAGCCGTGAGTGGATGTCAGATACGACAGACAATAAAATCAATAGATGCTCTAATATCATGCAAACAAAGGGCCTAACAACAACAAGTTCCTTTGTGGCTCCAAATTAAAATTTGATGCAGATTTCTGCATAAGCTCTCCCAACTGCAGGCTTCTAGTCCTAAATGGAAGTTTTTGGCTGTTTTTCCAAAATCCCATCCTAAATTTGAACAAAACAACCTTTTTATTCTCTTCAGATTATTTATCCTCACAATAGTTTCTCCAAAAATTCACCCAAACGTAAAAAGTCTGTAGGTTGGTGAAGGACCCAGGAGCAAGGCAGGTGAACTCGGAAGTTGTTTGATTTGTAATCTAAGGGCAAGCCTCAGCCTAGTAACCCCTCTTCTTCTGCGATGATTATGCTGGCTGGATGCCTTAAGGTGGATTGCTGCCACAGCAACACTAAGTCTACAGCCAAACCCAGCTACAGTCGGTCATAGACCCCAATCACCCGCAGAAAACGTAAAAACGCCCCTCCTCCACCTCCAGTAGCGTCCTGAACAGTCACCCCCCAACACACCCAAAACACCAAACAAGGTCCACCACATATCGGCCGCACTCAGAAGAACGTGCCCAACTGCCTCCAGATACCCACACTCACACCTACTATCAGGGTTCCTACCAACCAAAAGCAGCCCCGCCCCCTTCTTAGGCAGCTACGAAAACAGAGTCACGCCTCCTACGAAAGACATCCGTCCCCCGACCGCCCACCCGTCTTTGCAACACATAATAGGACTGCATAGCTACCTGACCAATCGCAGAGCGACACTCCGGAGGCCCCAAATCCACATCCCGCCACCCCAGTGCACCCTTAGCCGCAACATCCGCCTGTTCATTGACACGAGAAGGGCAACAGAAGGCTTATTTACAGTGCAGCAATTACACAACAGCAACAGGTGAGCTGATGGAAGACAAGTGTGCACAATTAACTAATGAGCTGAGGAGAGAAAATGAACCATAGATCACACTACACCTGAACTTCATGTATAGCTTCAGAAAATGGACCGCACGTTTTATTGAAGACTGAATCAGAACATAAAAACAACAGAAAAAAGGACACATTTTTAAAAATCTGTGCCGTTTCTTTGCTGCGTCACACCTGCTTTGCAGAGCTTGATGAAATGTTAAAACAGCTTGAACATACTGGGGTGGGAGACCTCTGATTTACCAAAAAGTGTGAGTTGGATTTAAAAAACGGCCCAAGTGTTGAAAGCATTTGATCGTACGTTTGCCTACAGAAAACTCTGCGATGAAGGGTTAAAGCTATTCTAATTCTCTGAGGATGTTTAAAACTGCGATAGAAATCCGAGCCTATTAAAAAAACAATGCATGATTTATTTTTTTTTACAGCTTTTAGCCCCTTTTAGGTTTTTTATCAGAAACTTTGCCTGCAGCACTATTTTATTTTCCAAGCTGCATTTTTCACATTTGATCTTTGAACACGGCGTTCACGGTTGACTGTACATCTACTTCCTCTACAGCTAATAAAGCGCGGTGTGTCTGTGTGGTCCAGTAAGGCTTTACTAAGTCTGCTTCTCTGTTTGATACTTTTCCTTTGAGGCTCCAGTAAAAATAGCACAAGGCTGCACGGTGACACGAAGCGCGGCTGGCCTACATTCGCTGCTGTGGCTCGGCTCTCGTTTGGCTTTGAAGTGGAAAGAACATCAGCTGTTTAAAAGAACAATGGCTAATTCATTCAGTCCAGTTCAAAAATGAGTTTCAACCTTGTTCAAAGTTTCTATTGTCAAATAAAATAAGTTTTTTTTATTTAACTAGAAGAACAAAACAATGTTTGGTTTGAAAATTGAGCCTATTTTGTTTCTCTAACTTTCAGTTTTTCCTTTCCTCTCCTCTCCCCCTTCTCGGTCCCGTCTTCTCCACAGTTTCTCCTGAACTTCTGGGTGTTCTGTCTTCCATTGCAGCCTTCATGGTGTTGATGGCTCTGGTTTTTCTTTACATCAGCAACAAACTGTCCGTGCAGACTCCTGACAACCTGTTGCCTCTGGCTAGCTACAAGAACAACCATCGAGGTACTCAACACAGCAACGCGACATTCACACCCGTGTTTCAACAGTACAATGCTGCAAACGTTCAGGCAATTCATGTTAGCTGTGTGAATGCAACACGCAGGCTTAAAGGGAGAATAGGCGGCTTTGGCTTTCTTTTAGCACCCCCTAGTGTCCGTTTAGTAGAACCGAAAGCACAACTTATCTCCTCGCTGTGCGTTCGTCCTTTTAACACTTTGATCTGGAAGCTGAGAAGTCTCCCCAGCCCTCATTCGTGTCTAATTGAGTGATTCATCACTAAATTTAACAAATCAGCATGCAGGAAACGTGCTGGAAGCAGACTGCAGCTCCTGGTACGTCGACTCCCTTATTTTCTAAGTCTAGCAGACCGGACCGGCACTCTGAAGTTGCAAATGCAGTATTCTCGCCACAGAGGGCGATGGGGGTCTGAGTGACATTTCATAAATGGTCATTTTAGCACATAATGACTCAAGAAAATGATTTAAAATTTTGAAAAAGTTGCAAAGTATCCCTTTAATTAGATCAACTTTACTATTGTAAATCAAATAAGCTAAATCTGGGTAAAGCTCAACTTTACACAGGAGCAACGGTTTAGTTTTAACACTAAAGATTTTTGTAATATTGCTTTCAAATAAAAGTGACATAGGTTATTGGCATCTTTGATTAAAATCCTACGCATTTGACCTGAGGTAAACTTTGATTATTTGACACATGGTTATTTGAATATTCAATGTTGTAGAACACTCGTTTAATAAATCCATTTGCGGTGGTCTCCTGCAGGAATAAATGCTTTGCAGGTCGTGTTCGGGGTGAAAGAAGCTCAGATGTGCTCGTTTCAGGAATTAGCAGAATGCCACATCAGAGGAGAGCCTAACACGGCAGGATCTGTAGTCTTACTTCCTGATATTTGGACATCTTGCCTCTGATTGGCTAACAGCAATGCGACTTTACCGCTGACTCTGTTTGCTCCGCAATGTTGATGTTTCGTCTCCACAAATAACACAACCCTGGAGGAGTTCTGTCATGTGGTGGAGTTGCTAATGCTAATGGTTAGCTTCTACTAACAGAGACGTTCTCTGCTATTTCCTGGATGCCAAAACCAACATCAGCCTTCCCCGTTGTGAGTTTCATCGTCTTTTGTCTATCAGAAGCTAATGCAGGAGATAGGGATGTCCCGATACAACTTTTTAACTCCCGATACGGTACCAATATTGCAGCCTTCAGTACCGATATCCATCTGATGCGATATCAGCACAAATCGTACATTCTTCTACCTATATTCTAGTGTGGAATGTATGAAAGGCTTGATCGAGAGATATTACTCAATCAGAGAACACAGTAACTGTGAAAAAAAATTACAATTTTCTTATAACCATTGGTTGCAAAAACGTGAGCCTTAACGGACTGCTTATATCGGAGATTTTTGATGCAGTCCGATATAATCCGATAGTGTTTTGGGGCTGAATTACTTCCAATATCGATGTCTGAATGGGACGGTCCCTAGCAGGAGATAGGTGTAGGAGACTATTTTCATGTTCAGCCTGCATGAAAAACTCAGTGACTCATTATGATCAGAAATAATCATGAAAAAAATGTTTGTGTTTCAAAATTCCTCATTTTTAATAATATTGAAAAATTATTTAACGTTGATTTATTTCAGAATTCCAACCGAAAGTGATTTGTGAAGGTAATGCTTTCACTTTGATGTTGATGTCCAAAAACTAGTAAAAAAGGATGAAGAATAAATCTAAAATAAAGGGTTCAAGTTTCAGTGTGAGTAGGGAGACATCTAGTGGCACAAGGTCTAAACTGCAAATAACTAATCAGCACTCTGCTTCAATCGAATTCTCTGTATTTTTTTTAGGAAGTTGAACCAGTTTAGGACTACAATCTGCAAATAAACACAAATTAATGATGCTGCAATGGCAAGATCTCAGAATATTATAAAGGACAAATCAATGAAACGTCCTAGACGAGGGAGTAAATGTAACAGAATGGGGAGAATTCAGGAAGGAAAACCCCCGTAGTTAGTTTTAAATGCCATAGTAGATTTTTATAACCTGGATTACGTCTGAGCAAACCAGCATCTATAGTCTTTACTTTGACCAGACTGCTATGTGCTGGAATGCTGGCGCCACACCCTGCTAACAAGCACGTGTCTGTGTTAGTGCTTCTGAGGAGGTAATCCCGAGGTCGGCGTGTGACTGGATCTCTGACTGAGAAATGGCCTTCTTCAAGAACTTCCAGCCGACCCTGCCGTCTGTCAATATTTCCTCCATCCTGGACTCGGTCAGCAGTCGTGTGGATGACCTGGCGAACGCCGTCAGTGATGCTACCTACGCCGTCAGCGACCAGCTCACCGAGCAGGTCACTACTATGATTAACAAGGTGCAGGAGGAGGAGGATGTTGAAAATGACAGCGGTCAGGATTCGGGTCAGGCCTCCAGCACCCAACAAGGCAGGGCCGGCAGTAAAAGCATATGGCAGAGAGACTCGGACCAGGACCAGGCGAGCGACGCTGCAGGGGGAGAGCACACTCAGAGTCAGCTGGAGTGGGAATGGAGGGACGGATGCTGGCGAGTAAAAAAGACAGAAGCCGAGATAGCAGAGGAAGAGAGGAGGAAAAAGGAGCAGAAGGAGCTCCAGGAAAAGAGAGAACAGAGGAGAAAAGAGAGGAGAGAGAAGCAGCTGGAGAAGGAAGCCAATTCAAAAAGAGATGTGGAAGAATTCAACGTGGAGGAGACAAACGGGGATGAAGGAGAGGAGGATGAAGACCAATTAGCTGCTCAGGAAAAAGGTGGCTGTGATAAAACTCCTCTTCCAGCCGACTGTCAGACTGAAACAAGACGATCGGAACAGAAAGATGAAGAGGAGGAAGTGGTGGAAGATGGCTCAGAGAGGGAGGCAGACAATGAGGAGGAGGATGAATCTAAATCTTCCTCTACGATGAAACAGAAGATGGATGAGAAGAACGGGATGGAGAGTTCAAAGAAATCTGAGAAAGCTGCAGATGTGGAGAGGAAGAGAAAGAAAGAGAAGAAAAAGAAAGGAAAGAAAGGTTAGAGTGTGCCGTCTCTCTGGATCTTCACCTCCTTTCCTCCCTTCAATCCTCACTCTTAAGTTCAAGCCTTTCAGATTATCGTGAGCCGGTTTCAGCAGCTTTATGCCTTTAAAATATCAGTTTGTGGGAAAAATGCCGATGTTCTCATCCTGCACAGATGGACCCGCATCAGACGGCGAAGAAGAGCAACGCCCCGAGGCTATGACCCAACACAACGCCACATCTGTGCAGAGCAAAAGCGGACAGTCGGGTGAGCAGGAGGGCTACAGCAGCGAGGCCTCCAGCGAGTGGGGTGAGAGCTTCAACACAGTTTAAACATCACAATATGTTCTGGACATCAAGGTGTAGACGGTTCTGTGTCCCTCTGTGTCAGCAGCCACCAGCATCCAGAGAATAAAGAAACATTCCTCCCAAAGCGAGCTGCAGCCGCCTCCGTACCAACACGAGAGCTCGGGGAAAGGTAATTCGTCCCGCTCTGAT